GGCAGGGAGGACGTGGCTTCCTCTGCGAGACGATCCGTCTCACTTCCAGAAGACATGCCGGGGGCTGAAAGGGGCTGCCGTGTCTTTTGGGAAGGCTGGAAAATCAAAGTGGGGTGGAGGCTGAGGTGGTGGGAGCCCTGCCCCGGACAGGCGCCCTGCCCCGAGGAGTGGGCAGTGACAGGAAGGACGAGGCCTCCCCTTCGTGTGTCTGGGGCACGCGCCTGCGGACTGTCGCTGCCAAGCGGCAGCCAGAGGTTCGCAGGAGCAGCGGGGACGTGGGTGGATGGATGGATGGATGGATGGATGGATGGATGTCAGCAGCTCAGCAAAGCACCCCCCTCCTATCCCCGACAAATGCATCCCCCAGACGTCCATGCACGGTGGCACCCAGGGCACTAGCGAGACGGTAGGGCTGTGGGGGGACCTTTCTATCCTCCAAAAATGTTCTTATGCCACAGAAATGGGGCACAGGCTCCTGCCTGAACTTGGCAGTGGTAGCTGCCTGTGGGGACGGAGCCTGTTTTGCAACGCAGGCTGGTCTCTGCAGGCTGGTCGCTAGTGCCTAATGCCAGTGATCAGAGGGCTCTGAAACATTTAAAACAACCCTTAAAGCGCTCCAGCCTCTGAAATGGCCGTGTGTGGGATGGGAGGCAGCAGACAGGGACAGGGAGTACCAGCATCCCCAACTGGCCTAGTATAATCATGAGCTCAGTGTTGGTACTACATGCAGGGATTCATAATTATCGCACAAAGTGCTATGCCTGTGTAATTGGAGGGAATAGAAAAAATGTAGTCTGTTATTTGAACAAGGCTGTAATCATGGAACAAAAAAATGTATGGTCTTTGGGGCATGGACTGTCACTTTCTATAGGGTTTGTACAATGGTTGGCACAAGATGGTTCAGCCTCCTTGGCCTCCAGGCACCGGTCCAACCTCAATAAATGTTTCAAGATGATGCGTCTCCTCCACAAGGAAACACTGCAGACAGATTCTCATCCCCGTCACCGTTTCAATCTCGAGTAACTCTTACTTGCATACTAAACCCAGCAGGGAGTTACCCTGGGTTTACACCAGTGTGCCTGAACTGAACTTGGCCCTTTATGCTGAACATACAAAATTACCTTTGGTATTTCCTGATTTCAGTGCTCAGTCATGCATTTACAATGTCCTCTTCCCAAAGACTTGTTTTCTATCATAATTCCGTGTTGGTAAAAACAATACGTGAGAAACTTGTGCACAGTTCCTGACGTCTCTAAGAAACGAATGAAGGGAGCATATCTGTAATTTGCTTTAATTAAACCGTGACTGCCCCTGCCCTGAAACAGTGCGGGCATTGCTGTAAGCCTTGTCCTCCGCTCTCCTTATTGTTTCCTGCCTCTCCATGGCATCGTGTCTAAGGTCCGACTCCAGTCCTGAAAATGACCTCTGTGGGCCCAGGCGACACGTGCGCAGCCCCACTGCTTGGGGGGGGCCCTTCCTCTGCTTTGGGACCTGCCTTGCGGACGCCGAGGGAACGTGAGCGGTAACCTGCCGGGGTGGGTCCTGCGGCGTCCAGGAGCCCTCCCGCAGCTCGGTCGCTTAACTCCACAGATGGTTTGTCTGGTGACAGACTGGGAGAAAGGCTTTTTTTTTTTTAATCCGATTTTTCTTTTCATAAAGTTTAGTGCATGCCAGCGGTAGCTGAGAATAATCTGGATAATTAGGAGCTAGTGCTACACTGTTACACAATGACTTTTTATAACAGAGGGAAGGATGTTTTCTCACTGAAACAAAGTCCTGTTTGTGCTGCTTAATAGTGATTAGTTACTGTGATCTCATGTCTGGTCTAACGGCTTCTTGGGTTATTGGCTGCTTCCTGGGCACTTTCAGGGTACGTGTGTGGCTGTCCCGAGGTCCATGAAAGATGCACCCCAGGTTTCCCCCTGCACCCTGCATTGCTAGCTGCCCTGCTTTTCCCTCCAGTCACCTCGGGTCGGATTCAGAGCTGCAATCCTCAGGACCCGTGGTGCACGAGGAGCGGCTCACAACGGGGCAGTGGGTTTAGGAGAGGCCATGGTGCCTCTTGGATTCGGGGCTGCTCTGGAGCCTGGCGTGGTTCCCAGCATAAGCAAAGCAGCTCTTGAGGCTGCTTGAATTTATGGCAGCTTTCCCATCGCTGCCAGTGAGCTGTTCAACAGCCCGCAATAGCTGAAGGACAAAATATCGCAGCCACTCCCTGTCCCCTTCCCAACGTGCCCCGATACTAAGGGATGCGCGGGAGACCATGTGGGGGAGGACTGCCGTTAACTTCCCTTCGCGGGGAGATAATCCTGGGGCTTTGGTATAGAAGAGCCTATTTCAGGAACTTCCCTACGCAGCAGCTTCCCAAGTTGTTTGTGCGGCCATATGGTGGCACAGCGAAAGCAGGTCAGTGTGTCTGGTCTGCTCGGCGCAGGCTCTTGCCGCGCGCTCCCCGGCGTCCCCAGCGTTGCACAAAGTGATGCGACTGCACCTCCCTCGCGTGTTTGGTCTCTCCTCTCCCGAAATGGGGAGGTGCGCACGTGGCATTGTGCTTTGATTAGGTTTTAGAGGTGGGCTTTTTAATATACAGGTTGCTGTGCATTCATGCTAGAAAAGGCAAAGAGAGAAACGCTCCTTGCGCTGGAGAGCAAAGGATTATGAGGTTGGTGGTGGTCCTTTATCTGGGGCGAGGGGGGTGTCTTTTCTGACAGCCTTGGATTTATCCCTGGGGACGGTCCAGCTCCTTCACCGATGAGCTTTGCCCTTATCCCGGCTGGTGCGTCCAACCAGAGGAGCACCGTCCTCTCCAGTCCAGAGCTGCAGGTTGCTTTTAGATGCTGTGGGACCGGGCCATGGCGAGCCTTGCAGATAAGGACTGCAATCATGAGCTTGGTTTGAAATTGCATGGGAAGCTGGCGTACGCGGTGGAGGGAAGACTTCATATGCTCAGGGTAGCCCAAGCTGCCGAGGAGATTCACGGCCATGTTCGGTGCTAATAGTTGTTTCCTAAGTGCGGACGGCTTCGTGCCCAGGGGTGTCACACTCGCAGCCGGCGTGGTCCAACCTCGTGCTGACAGAGGCATGAATAAGCGAGGGCAGATCATCACCCACCAGGATGGCAAAGTCTCCTTGCCAGCTGGAGAGGACAGAAGCATTACTCATGTGTAAGTGTAGCCTCAGGAAGGACTCCAAGAATATTCCTAAATTGCAGACTGAATTGATGAATTGCCATGTGTGCTTTCAGCCAACGGAGGCTGAAATCTGGCTGGGGGCTCCACATAGTGCTTTCTTCTGCCCACCGGCATCACCCCGTCTTGCTTGGGGCCGATTTCAGCCGGGGCTGCTAACGGGGTGCCGCTGGCACTGGGTGCACCCCTGCAGGAAGGGCGACATCCGTGTTAGGCCATAACCTTTGCCACGCTCCCCGGTGAGACAGCGGTACCCCCGGTCTGCAGCGCCGCACGCTAGAGAGAGCCGGGAGAAGGGGAGTGGATGTCTGCTCTCTCTGGGCAGGTCACCTCTCGGTATCAGGAAAGCCGTTTCACTTCCTGGCCCGAATCCAGATTGGGCTAGGCACCAAATATTAGTTTCAATTAAATGAGCTCGTAGCTGGCTTGCTCACAACTGTGAGGTGTGTCGCAGGGCTCATCTCTTCCGTGTAGGTTGGACTTTGGTACGCTTGGAGGAGAAAGCGAAGCTGCCTCCTCCGAATGAGTCACCCCTTATTTTGGACAGGAATCAGCGCGGTGCTTGGTGCCAGACGCAGAGCCTGGAGGAAAACCCTGCCTTTGGGCAGTTCCTACCTCTTGTGCAGAGGCTGTTGCAGGGGTCGGGCTAGGGTTAGGGCTAGGGTGCAGCTGTGAAGCGCTGGGCATTTGTGTTGAAGGAGGCTCCAGAAGTAATGAATGAGAGGCAAAAACTGCTGCTGGCCTCGAAGTTGGTCAGGCCAATGTGGGCGCCACAGCTGCTCATCTACCTCTTGGTCGGTCCTCGTGCGCTGGCCGAGCTACGTCCTCACCCCGACACCCCAAACGCTCTCTATGCACCGGTCCGGGAAGCTTCCTCCCCGGATGGCCCAGTTCTCCAAAGGTGCTGTCTTGTACTTCTTCATCTCTCTCCCCCCGTCTCCTCTCCCATGAGTTGGGCAGCCAGTTCTGCCAACATTTGATTCACCGGCTGGGGTGGAGGGAAAGGGTCCGGCCCGTGCAGGGCCGTGTCAGCCAGCAGAAGAGCGAGCCAGAGGGATTTCCACTCTGTGGCGTTGCCGAAGGAATAGGAAAAGGGGTCGGTGTCCGGTGGTCAGAGGGGAGCGGGCTGGAGGAGCAGCCCAGCAGCCGGCTGGGCTTCAAGATCGCTGAGCAGGAAAGCAGCTTGCTGCCTGCTGTCTACAGGGCAGCAGCACACGTGGTCACCGGGCCGGTTGGACTGGGTGTAAGTGGCAGTCGTCGTGCCCAGGGTAGCGGCAACTCCTCCTGTTTCTTCTGGTCTCGGTAAAGTGATCGTCTGTCCCGCACCAGAAGGTCTGGGCGTTTATGGGACCCCCTGAGGGCTCGGCCGTAGGTCCTACCTGGTGCGTGGAGCATGGCACCTCATGCCTCGGATGCCATGTAGCCCCACGCGGGTCAGTTGCCTATAGCAGAGGACAGCCAGGCTACGGGCCACGCACCCTAAAGAAACCAGTTCCTGGAAAGTATCCGGTCAATTTAATCTGTGACCGGTCTCAACCCCATTGAAGCGGAAGGGAACGAAAAGAAGATAGAGGCCTGCCTTTGCTTCGCTGGGGCAGAGCCCGCTCAGTCGTTTGGTTCGAGTTTGCAGCTCCGCGAATGTGTCTCGTGCTGTTTTGCAGACATCCAGGAGTTCTACGAGTTCACGTTGCTGTCGGCACGCGTGCAGCGCGGGCTCCGGGATCCAGCCCCCAGTCCCTCGAAACAGCAGCATGGTGAAGAAGAGACGGGTCCAGCCGATAGCCCTGGAAGTCCCAGGCATGCTCTAGAGGTAAGAGTCTCCTGCTGTGCCATGCTGCATAAACGC